GTTTTATCGTTATTACTTAAAATGAGAATATTTGTTTGATATATGTCCTGCAAATCATTTACTTTGTAAACAACCGAGTGGATTACTCGTTTGAAATACACATCCGCAAATTTTCGATGATGCGCTAACGGTAAAAATAAGGAAAAACTTGTGAGAAAACATCCATGAGGAGCGGGAATTTAATTTGGGCTAATGATATAAGCACCTCGTTCCGAACTGATCGCCAAGCAGGAAGTACGTAGAGATGGACTTGCTCCCCCCTAGCCCCCTAGCCTCCAAAGGAAAGGCACGAGTAGCTCAGTTTTCCTCCCATTGCAACTCATCCCCATCGCTCCCTTGTTGTGCTATTTCCGACCAGTCCAAAACGAGAAATAGAATAGCACCGTCAATTGCAGAACGTTTATCAAGAACCTTCCCTAACAGAGGATAAAACTGGAAACATTTTAAGTATTTGCTTCGAGTAAACTATTCTACACATAATGAAACATATTTGAACGGATTATATTATGTCAAGCGGTTATTTTGTTCATGTCTACTCAACTTGGTTTTTCCTTTGCACGTCTATCACAAATGCGATGAAAGAGGATAAACAGAGAACTGAAGGACGGAATAATCCAGCTACGGAAATGCACCGTTTGGTGTGTATGTTTTGTATGGGAATAGCTCCAAGCTGAATAATAACAGTTTGAAGGTTTCCGAAATGATTATTGAAGCGTCAAAACATTTTGGCAAGCCGTCTAAACGGAAAACACGGATATTGGTAATGTCAGTGAGTCGAATTAAATTTTCTCTTCTTTCAAAGTTTACTTGACTAGACACACTAATTCAATTAGTACTCACTTGAATTACCCGTCTTGGGAAATGAAACGAAACGCAAGTTGAACGAACTGTTTCATTTCGGGGACAAAAAATGCTCTGTTTCTCCNNNNGTTTCTCCCAGTCTATAGTGTTACAAAAGCAGTAGTCGGTTTGTGGACACGACGGAGAGAGAGAAATCTGTAAAAGCATCATGTGTTGGGTCTGACGTAACAAACCATTACCGACAGTTCAACTCTGGCTGTCAACTCGTTGGCCGCTCGCGGTATATTTATTTCTACGCAACCCAAACACGTGTTAACTTTGGTTGTACGCCTGAAACTGGAAAGCGCTGTGTCAAGGACCCAGATTATGAAACATACTGTATTGCAAAACCAGTTGGCTCGTTTTTTATTCCAAATATGTTGCAGTTGAAATAGCTTTTTTACAACCGATTGCATTGGGATTTAGATGGATTTTTTTTCTATCACGCTTTCCATACACGTTTTAGCATCGAAAAATGCAGATTCTTAAAAAAGTGAAGCAAAACGAGAGACGTGGACGATTCGGACCTCGGAGTATTTCATTCCCCTAATACACAAAAAGCGAAACGACCATCCCTATGGCTCAACTTCTTCATTAAATGTATCAAGCCGAAAGCATAATTTTGATGTATGATATATGGATTATATCTTAGGTTATCTGATCTTCGATTAGTCTTCAGTCCTCAGGATTGAGGGCAGAGGGCCCTTGTGAGCCCCATCACCACTGGGTCGAAGATCCGATCACAAGTGTTCGTTCCTCCATAGCCCCCTCAGGTGCTCATCCAGACGCCGTTTGAAAGCAGCGTCTGTCTTCTCTTCCACAACAATCACTGGAAGGGAATTCCTGAGTATTGTTGACCTACGCGAGAGTCGGTAGACTAACGTAAGATCAACTGACTGAAGTTTCCGCAACGTGGGAGAGTGCCCCCGCGTGCGATGCTCTGTCCGTACTGTTGCAGTTCCTGGTCCATATAATATGTCAGGATCTTCCTCAAGCAGATGAGATTTCCCATGAGCCGTCGATACGCAGCTGGGAACAGACCAGTAGCCTGTAGACGATCTTCATAGCTGGTCTCGCGTAATCCGCCCACGAGTCTAGTGGCAGCACGTTGTACACGCTCCAACTTAGCCAGTTCACCGGCCATGCAGGGGTATGTTACCGCACCACCATACGGTCTGACATGGGAAGCGTACAGCAGCCCGAAAGCGTCCATCGTGAGCTGGTTGAAAGACCGCCGAAAAGGCCCCAGAATGCTCCGTGCGCTAGCACAGACCCGATCGGTTTTCCCTCGGGTCTTTAGTGATGACGTAACCATAACACACAGGTCTCGTTCGTACGATGTTCTGCGCAACGTGGTTCCCTGGAAATTGTAGACTACCTCTGAGTCAGCACGCCCCAAAGGCAGGTTAAGACATTTTGCTGTGTTGACTGGAAGTGCCCATGTATCGCCAACTGAGCCAGGTTGTTCAAATACGCTTGAAGAGAACTTCAATCATTCGGATCCTTGATTGTACGCCTGCATACATGAGGGATGGGCTGCACAGTTGACCGGGCAGGTCGTTCACGTATACCACGAAGAGCAATGGACCAAGAACCGAGCCTTGGGGGAACCTCCCTGGGAGCGGAAGACTACGCTCCCCAAACGTATTTTGGTGAATAAAAGCGAGAAATTTTTAAATCATGACAAGCATGAAGATCTATAATTAACATGATGCTTCTCTTGTGGCAAGCTCCAATTGCAAATGAACCCCGAGGATAGGACAACAAGTTCAGTGTTTTTTAGCAAAGTAAATCACGGATATTCATGCTGTCTATTGATTATTTGATAGTGTTTGATTTTATTCTAAAATAAAAATGTGTAAAGTGCTGCGAACACAAAGCGCCTGATATTCTTTATCATTTTCCTCCCCTCTCTCACCGTGCACAAATCCAGGTTTTCGACATCGTATGGATATGCAAGCCGGTGAAACTTGGAAGTTAAATCAGGATTTTCTACTTGGGAATCTACAAGACTTTTCCCAAGATATGCGTCATTTGCCGATCGAGGCAGCCTTTGATATTCGTGCCCCGAATGGCACACATGTGAGTGCGATGGATTTCCTAGTTGAGACATATTTTGAACAGAATATCATTATTTTTCTGTGTCCATGTCAGGACTCGAACTGTGAACCTTCGGGTTTAGATACACGGTCAACGGTCATCACTTTGTGCGAATGGCTCAATCAGTTTAGACGGTGAATGTTTGGATGAAGTCTACTCGGTTTTTCACAGTCACCAAGCACTCACTGCCTGACGAGTCCAGTCCGGTTATAACAAAAATTTGCCATCGCATCTAAATGCACTCAACTAGTGGGGAATGAACCATCTACCAAGGAGTGAAACCCACAATCAAGATCATCAACAATGCCTGGTGCTTATGAAAAACCAAATGGGCTAATCCAAACATTCAACGTCTAGATTATCCGTATTCTTTTTGAATAGATGCGGCAGTAACACAGCGACACGGGATCAACCTTTCGTTTATTTCGTTCGCAATCGATTTTTCTGCAGTTTGCATCATAACCAATGTGGCAACATTTTGATTCGAGATGATTCCCATAATTACGGATTATGTTGGTGCACTGTGTTAGAATAGGTTCGATTTCAGAACGCATGAGAGTAAAACAATCCATTCGGAGAAGCTGGAGACATTCGTTTTCGAATCATAGACCGCAAAACAACTTCTGTTACTCATATCATCAGTAAAGTTTGATCACCAGACAACCAATCAACCGGCTATTTTACACATTGTCTACACGAGATAACGAGCATAACTGATCTTTGCAAGTTCACATTCTACCAGTGAGGTCGCGACCAGTTTATATTTAATGTTTCTCTTATTTTGCACGGTTGGTGACCCCTTCCTCTCCGCCAAAAGTTGACATGTTTATACAGTTTGACCCAGATTGATATTCCACGATTCGGTTGACCTTTGTGTGCGATACATTTGGTCATGAAATCCACATTTAAATACGCCACCCACTACTCCATTTGAAAATTCACAAATATTAAAAGAAAAGCTACCGAGTGAAGACTGTGATATGTGCGTTGGAAGATAGACCTCTGTCCTAATGGTGGCCAAATGTAAATAAAGATTGTACTTTTGAGTTGTTACTGATGATGATGATGATGGTAATCGCCATTTTGTTTCGATTTAAGTGAATGACGTTCATTGTACAACAACTGTTGGGGATAAGTGTATGGTTGAATGCAGGGGAGCAATGTTTGCAATATTGATAGGGAAATTCGTGTGGCGGTAGAGGCAGGATGCGCACTCCCAAACAACGGGATATCGATGTTCGATGAAGAACTAATTAATCTACTTTCATTTCACTGATGATATAAACGGTAGATTTCTGTGGCTTAAGTAAACAGTCCAATGCAACGGAATTGTGTACTGATCGAAATAAAGGGCCATTGTATGACTGATTCGCCCTCTTCAGAACTCAACCACAGTGCTTTTTGTCTGTGTAGCTGACACTTAGATGAGGGGATATCTATGCAAGCAGAGGGTACGTACGCACAGATATTAGGCAGCGTTGATGAGTTTTGGAAAAAAGATACCTTCACAGTGGTATATTTCGTTCAGCCCACCAATCTAAGGTCCAAAAGCTGCCTCAACATGAAGGGGAAATATCGAACTCTCTCTTATTATATACATATATATATCACCGGCTTGCGAGCAAGCTTGGTGCCAACGCAAAAACAAAAGTAACAGAAAATGGGGATTGGAGTACAACGCAGCGTACAAGGAGGTCAGATAGTTAAGTTTATTAACGAGAAAACATCTTTTTTCGTTTATTACATCGATCACTTTTCGATGTTTTGGTTTAACTTATCGTTTTTTATGAGGCACGCGAGTTCAACCGGCAGATCGTATAGCATTTGCGCCACTGACTTCTATTCTGGGCTATATCTACCAGCCTGTCTAGCTAACGACAATCCTTATCTGTTGGGCTCCAATTCGGAAGGTGGGCTACACGAAACGAAGCCAAAGTTGAAGCTATTCTCTTTGTGACTCTACGTCATGTCATGATCAGACCGCTGCAGCACGTCTTCCAGCTTTGCCCGGCACGTGTAAAGACAGCACAGAAAGGTAGTCGATGGGCAGGCATACGCAATACGTAACCCAGTCAACAGAAGCAATTTAAAATGATTACTTATGTTACAGAGGGCCTATCCACATCTATCACACGACGAAGAACCTCATCATTGCTCACCCGATGTTCCCAGCAGACATCAGATATCGGTGGTCGAATACAGAAAGTCGATTAGCACCCTCAACG